TCCACAGATTTCCGTGCTAAAAGGGAAAAATCCACGTTTTCTCCACTTTTCTGTGAGAAATGGAAAACCCGAATTCCTGCTAATCAGTCATTCTCCTCCAGCCCCATTTGTCTGAGGGAGAGTTTTCCTTATAGCTCCCCATCCTTGTGAGACTGCCTGGTTATCTCACTTTCCCATACCAAGCAATGAACAGACAAAAGACTTGGTTGCCCCTTGATTACCACCTGAGGAGACTTCTTGAGGACCTCAGTGGCCTTTGGATTTGGTAAGACAAAAACTTGGTGGGACAGTTTTTGGTCTTGAAAGCCCATCTTTAGCTAACATTGTGCCTGATACTGCAATGTGTAATGGGCAATCCACAACTTTCCTTGACTTCAGTCAGCCATACAGTCTGGCTGTTCTCAGAAACTCACTTGTTTGCAGTCAGGGGGAAAATGAGAACTGGAGCCAAAATGCTATTTCTTTTTCAGTAGCCATTCGGCATTGTATCTGAAACCTTTTAAAACCTGTTTGGCTGTTTCTTTAGTTTCCAGCTTTCTGGGGTGGACCATTTCAAAGTACCGTTTTATTTGAAATTTTAAACGTTGTTTATTACTGGGGTCTTAATATTTGGCAAGGTGATAACAGTTGGCTGGATTGCCAATTGAAGAAGGAAAAAGGAGCTGTTCTGTAACTGATTATTGATCCAGAAGGGGCACAGACAGGGCAGGAGCAAGCCTGAGATTTTTATGAAATTGGACCATCTGCTGTTGAGAGAGTGGAAGCTGAGTTAATTAGAATCAAGAGGGACATCAGAAATGCAGCTGCAGTTATATACAACTTCTAAAAAGTAGTTAAGCAAAAAAAAAAGCTACTTCCTATGGAACATTTTTGGTATTTATTGTCCTGAGAGAATATAGGGCCCAGGGGAGGTGGGAGTCCTAAGCCCCTAGCAGGATTTTGATTGTGCAAAACACATGTTACATGTTTGGAGTATGATTAAATCAACAGTATTGCCAACATCAAGACCTCAAGACTCGGGCCCCTAAAAATGATGCGGTGTGACTCCAACAAACTCAAATCACAAGTTTTTGTTGAAATAATGAATGCTGGGTTCTTCCTTTTCCAAATTCAAAGTTTCATAGATATAGTTTCATAGATTAAGGGTCGGAAGGGACCTAGTAGATCTTCTAGCCTGACCCCCCCGCCACGGCGGGAGAACAACAAAACCCCAAAAACAAGAAACGGGAGTCTTTAGGGTGCACTTGATTCACATGCTCAATCCTTCCTTAAACTTAAGGCTAGAAGCCTATGGCATATAAAATATAAAAACTGGAAATGACCGTGTGTCATGAGATTTGTAGTTGAATAATGAGCTGGCAAAGCTGAATTAAACTTCTTGCACTGAATCTGCTTTGTTGTCTTTAATATACACTGATTCCAGGAAAGTAACCAGACGAAACATTCAGGGCGGTGTTTAATTCCCAAATATTGAAAGAATCGCTTAGTGAAACATTGCTGGAATGAAGAAGAATTCATTATGTTTTTAAGTGCAGTTTAGTAATGTGTCTGAATTCAGACAATGGAATTCTGTTTGCTTTCATATTATCATCTTCTGATTGTTCTCGGAGAACTGCGATTAATTTTAGGCTTCATTTGTCATTGACAGACTATTTGTTAACAAATGTTTCATTTGAATTAAATTATCACATTCGTGTTCCCCCCCTTTTGCAGCTGAATTATCTATATATTATAATTTAATTTTCCCTTTTTTCCTTTTTTAGGGCATTTTCCCAGAAACATATATTTATTTAAAAGAAGCAACAGTAGAAGACAGAGGGTATGTTGGAGATGGTTTTGACATGTCTTGAGGCTGGCAGAAATCATTGAACTCAGTGTCATAGAAGAGTTTTAAAAAATGGAGATACAGTGTGTAGTGACTAGTGTTGGTATACCTGGATCTGTCAGCCCCAAATCATTGTTGGAATATTTTCTACTTTTATCAAGGTATTGTGTATCCCAGGTCAGACATGTGCATGGAAGCAAAATGCCACACTTGCAAGGAAAAAAGTAGGTTCTGCTAGACATGTTAATAGCCAGCCAGCTCACTCAAGTTACAGGAGGCTCCTCTAGAGACTCCTATGAGTCATAACACACTCCTGCTTATAGCCAGGTAGCCATCAAGAGAGTGTAGATTCCCTTCTGCCTTGGAAAGTGTTTAAAGAAATTGCTGTTAATCTGATTCTTACAGCCTACTCTCTGATTACTGTAAGTGAAAGGAAAACAACACCGGCAGCAATAGGAAGTGACATTAGAAAATCGTTTTTGAGCCTTGTAGCCAAATTACCATTGTAAGCAGAGATCTTTTAAACTGAATTGCTGTGAAGAGAGGCAGACATTTGCTTATATGGTATTAAATTTCTGGAGTAGATCCATGGACTGAAAACCCCCCGCTTAAAATACATTTACAGTGAAAAGGGTATAGAACGTGAAACATGTTGGAGAAAACCATTAGAACCATTTACATCTGGTCATCTCTATGCGATTACCCAAACCCGAAGTCAGTAATCTACACGAGGAAGGAAAAATAATATTCTTGATCCCTATAAAATCAGCAAAATCCTTGAAACATGGGTTGGATACAATACATCTTCCCAAATTTGTATTACCTTTACTTATGCAAACTCTGGATAGTCTTGTTCTCGGTAGAAATATCTAGACTTAAACTCTTGGCATCAGTGACTTCCTGTGTCCATTCTCATGATACATTGCATGCAAAAAAAGGTGGTATTTTTTTAATCAGTATTTGAATTTCTCATCTTTTTAATTTCATCACATGTCTTTTTATATGGTTTCCTCCTTCTCTAGGCAACATGAGACGGTGATTCCAAGCGAAGTGCCCCTTGTGCAAGAGCTCACTTCCACACTGAGAGAGTGGGCAGTTATCTGGCACAAGCTGTATGTGGTAAGTGGGTTTTTTTTTATTTGTTTGGTGTTTGTTCCAAGGAGAGAGAGAGGGAGGGGCAGCATCTCCCACTCGATTCAGGTGAGTGTGGTGTGAAACACAAGCCACTGGAAGATTTTCAGAGGGTCTCATTATCATTTTGTGTCTTTGCCACCAACAGTTTTGTTGAACATTTGTGCTGCTCAAGAACATGGGCTTCAGAGCTTTGTTTTTCTTTTTTTTGCTGATTCCTAATGTAATGTCCAGAGCTGCAAACAGGAATCTAATAGAGGCAAATTTGTCTAAATGCTAGACTAACTAGACTCAGGAGACTGATTCCGTATTGCTAGATTTTAGTGTTCTACTAACTTGCTGTGTCATCTTGAGGCAGGGGTTTTTGTGCGTGACATCTTTTATTGTGTGATCCTGAGTGAGTCTGTTAGGTCCTGATTCAGCAAAGCACTTTAGCATGTGTGGAAGCCACATTGACTTCCGTTAAAAAAGGAGTTAAGCACTTCCTTATATGCCGTGTTGCAACCTGGTCTGTAATTTTTCCTGTGCTTTGATTGTGAAGGTGATAAAACGTGCATAGACTTGAAGTGATTTGGATGTGTTAAGACAATACTTGCAGCAAACTTTGAGGTCTTCAGGAACATGAAGTGTAAGGTAGCATCATTATAGATGGAACTGAAGCAGAGGAAGTGATTTATTGCTGTCCATATCAAAAGATGAATGAGCAAAGGTAAGAAGGCAGCTAAGTCTACAATGCAAAATTTTACTGTTCGTGAACAATTGAGTTAGGTGACACAGCACTGACCCTGACTTTGCAGTCACAGTTGAGCAGGACAGTCATAGTCAACTTTGTCAGCTGGTAAGACAACTTGCATGAGTCAGGCCTCAGCAGCATGAGTTAAGGTTCTTGTAGTGCCCATGGGCTATATATCTCCTAAGTAGGCAGAGTATTTCGTAGAGTACAACAGTGGGAGTCAAGACCTTAATTCAGGCATCAGTTCTCTCACTGGTGTACATTTCTTTGGGCAAGTTGTTTAAACTTGTTAGGTTTCAAAGATGTGAGAGGGTAATGAATTTTATCATAATTTTTTTTTGGTGTGCTATGAATGTAGATTTGAACAGTTTGCACACAAGCACACATTTTTTGATCATTTCCTTTTCAAGAACATCTGTCATCGCTGTTCTGATTTTTCTCCAGGGGAAAACACATTCAAGATTATTGGTAAAATTAGACCCAGAAACTTCCAGTTGCTGTGTAAGGAAGAGCCAGCTCCATAGTTTTCTGTTTATCAGATGGCTCTGTTAACTTTCCTTAGCTCACGTGGTGTTTCTGGGTTCTGTAACCTGAAGGCAGGATAACAGAATATTTTTCATTAAGTCTCATCTCAGTGCATCCTGTACTCAACAAAGTCTTTCCAGAGAATGGCCAGTACATATGATTTTGCTCATCAGATGATTGTGTGTCTGTCTCTCTGTGAAGCTCTCCATATCTTTGTTTCCAGCTTAACAGGGCCATGCTCAAAGCTAGCCTCAACTGCCCTGTTATCAACCCTGTTTTTCCAGTGAAGCAGTACGCAAACTTCTCAGCTACAGTAGAGAACCTTCAACTTTCTCACACTGTGCCAGCCACTGTTTCCAAAATTGTTAACATGGTTTAATCCAGTCATTTTTTTTCCTGTAGTGGTGCATATGATATGTATCATGTCTTGCTCAAGAAGAGGAATATGAGACGAGTGCAACCCCATGATTTTCACTATCTCTGGGGGAATTCCGCTGATATCAGTAGAGGTTTCTCTCCCCTGCCAGGACAGACTTAGCTTGTTGTTTGCATTTATCTTTTTAAATCCAGCTTACTCTCTTCTCTTCCAGAGGTTCTGAAACTATTCCACATGGGAAATTTGCTAGTTTACAGGGAAATGGGAAGTATTGTGTTGGGACAGCAGCAAAACTGCTACTTGATCCTCCCTACATAATTCAACAGGCTAAAGGGTGCAATTGGTGGTTTCAAGGTGAAGTGGGCTTAAGCTGCCAGAGAGTTGTGAATAGCTGTTTCACCAAAGAATAATATCAAAAAGAGGCACCAACCCCCCACTTTTTGTACATGACCTTCCTGCATTCTCAGATTAAATTGCACCTCTTGTATAAGAAGTCCCAAATTTGGAGTTGAGAATGAATGACTTCCTTTCACAGTTCTATACTAAGATAGATTAAACACACTCAAATTTAATTTTACTTTGGTCATTGGTTATTTCAGCTGACATAGTATGTGCTCTGAGACTGTAATTAAGATGAGAAAATAGTTCTAAATTAGCTCCAAACATTTTGTTTAAGCAGAGCAAGCTTTTCTTATTGAATATTTCACCCAACCATAAGTGCATGTTATGGAACCACAAAGATTTGTTCCACCCTTTTAGTTTAATGAGAGGCAAAATGTGACGTAATTCCTGTGCAGACAGTTGGTTTTGTTCCTGGCTTTTTCTTCTGAATAACTGTCAGGTTATAGCCGAAGAATCCGTTAGAAAAAAAACAAACAGCAGAAATCTTCAGTGTGACTTTATTTTGTCTGCATCAGCCTTAAAATAGACTTGGAAAATGTTGTGGTTTCAAATGGACTGAGGTTTTTATTTTTAATTCCTGTAGTGTTAGGAAAACATGAAGGGAGGAAGAAGGTATGTGGGGAGTGAGCAGAAAGCAAAGGGATTTCTTTTGGCAGTGTTTCATTTCAATTTTGTTAATTCTGTAAATTGCAGCAAGAATTGCACCAATGGATTTGTATTCACTATGCAAGATTAAAAATTTGTTCTTAGCTCGGATTAGCTAACTCATATTTACTGATTTGAGTTGAAGGAGGCATGAAGGCTGCTCAGGCTTTAACTCTGGTTAGTGACTTGACTTCAGCCCCAGCCTTCAGCCTTGAGCTGCTGATTTGAGTTCATTTGTCTTCTAATCCAAGTTAAGAATACAATTTCTTTTCCAGAAGAAATGGTATTGAGTGTCCGCAGCATTATCTGAGTCAGAAAGCGAACCTCTGCGGGAATCTAGCACTGATTGTGAGCATTCAAAATCCACTTTTCTTTAGTTTGTAAAACTGGGAACAGTATAACATAGCAGTGGTGATGGGAACTGGATAGTTCTTACCACAGCAGAACTCTGCTCCATTGTATCAGTGCATTGGCCTGAGTCAGGGAGCTTCTTGTAAATGACAGATGGAGCCCTGGGAAACCATGCTGAGGACCTTGAAATTAGCTGACTTCAGTGAGATTGAGGGTGTACAGAAGTGAGCAAACCTAGATTACAGTAGAGCTACTGGGGAAATTATTTTGCCCACAGAAAATGTCTGTCCGTCCCGTCCCACGAAAAATAAAAAGGGTTGAAGAATTTGAATAATGTTTTTTTGCCCTCTTTATAAATAAAGCAGAACACTGAAATTACTCCAGGAGTTGTAGAAAGCTTGACCTCTTTTAAAAAAATAACTTGTATTGCGATAAGTTTTGTTGGCTATTGCCTCCCCAAGGTTTTTAGCATTCACTGACCAAAAATGTGTTGACAGACACTGCATTTGCATTGATACTTAGAAGGTGTTGTTCTATGGACTTCAGTGTAGCAAAATTGGACCTTTACCCTTGTACTGAGAGAGAGGTTTCTATTCTATGTACTTGAGTACAACTTGGGTTGATATTTTAAGTCCCTACCTTTTTGTAAATGCGTTTCATGTCAATAACCAGAAAATTCTTCATTAAGCAACTCAACTCGGTTAAGTTTAATGAAAGATCTTGTGTTACTTCACCCTTTCCAGTACAGCAAAGTAGTGATATATCAAGAGTACATACCAATATAGAAATAATTCTTTGAGAACTGAAGTGTGACTAGATGCAGCTTATTCATTTGTATTCTGTGTGTGGGGAAATACCCACCGAGTTGAGGCTTCTTCTAGTAGATCTAGATCAATGAGTTTTTATGTATTTCTTTGAAGTCTAATCCTACTGTTCTCTGGAGAGTTTTCTACATAGAGCAAACCTAAATTGTATGCCTGTTGTTGCTGTTTGTTATAAACTCTTGTTAGCACCCTTTGGGGTATATATTGCTCTCTGGATAAGGAACTAGAAAAAGGTCAAAGCCTGACTCTGCCATGGACTTCCTCTGTGACCTTGGATAGATCACTTAATTACACTCTCACTTAATCTTGGATCCCTAGTCTGTAAAATTATATTGCCTGTGCTTCCTGACATTGTGGGAGTTTGGGCAACCTACATTTGTTTGTGAGACACAGTGGTAAGCTCCACAGAAAGTTCTGTAAATATGTATCATTGTCAGTGGGTTCACACATGGCTGCCAGTCATCAGGGATCTGGGTTTGCCGTTTCCTAGAGAAAAAGAGTAAAATACGGACTTCCCTCTGTGCCGGAGGAAAACGTGGATTGCTCAGTTTAGTGGAGAAACACAGATTTTACACTTTTTGCAAAGAATTCTCTGTAGGCTGGCAGAGGTCCAGCCCACAAGGGGCTGGGGGGAGCTGGAGGAGAGCAGTGAGGCAGAGTCCCCCTGTGCATGTATTTGCACGTGGCCTCCAGGCAGCCTGGAGAGCAGCTCCCGTAGGTAAGTGGGGGTGGGGGACAGAATTGAGGCCCCATAGGGATGGAGGGAGGGAGGAAGTTGGGCAGGACTGGGGCTGCTGCCCAGCTGGGCAGTGTATGGGGCTTGGGGCCTGGAGCTGCAACGTGTGACCGCACAGCCCTGGCGGGGAGTGAAATGGGGCTGTGGGCAGCTTGTCCTCGGGGGGGGGGGGGGGGG